ACAGATCTTTACAAGCGTCTCCCGCTTCTGCGTGGTTTCTTTTCAAGGTGAGAATAGCGGCCGGTGGTCTCGCCACACAGCAATGATTGTTTCTCCCCTCGAACAAACCTGCAGTGCTGTTTATGAGCAGTGTGAACGAAATCTGAAGCAACCACAGGAAGCGTCCCCACAGTGGAAGTTTTTAATGGACACCTGATAGCTACCAGTTACTCATGTTTGAAAAGGTTAGCAAAACAAAGTGAACTGAGGAGAAACCGCATTACAGTGGGCACCGAGGCTCTTGGTATTAAGCTGTTTTTTTTTTTTTTTTACATGTTTAAACCCACAAAATTACATTTTATTCATAAGTTTTGTTTCTCAGGTTTTCAAATGACAACAAATTGTTTTTTTGTTTTTTTTTTCTATTGTGTAAAATAAAGCAAACGCTAAAAGAAGTATTAAAATCCTGCCAAATCCACTCGTAACTGGCTAAAATAGCTGTTGCCATTTCCACACACATGGTCTTAATGGACATTTTGACCATTTCCTAACAGATTTTACAGGAGGATCAGGTTTATTTAAAGCCCCAACAGGACAGAGAATGCATGACTTGCAACATCTTCATCAAACTGTAGTCTGACTGGAAGAAAATCAAATCTAGCATGTAGAAGAAGGATTTAGTGTTTCACATTCAGGTTCCAGAGACTCAGAATTTCAACAGCTTAGCATAAAGGTTGTATAAGTTGTTCAGTCTTAAAACTTTGCTGATGCATTTTAGAAAACATTTAGTTATCAAAACATTTAAATTTAAATTTTAAAACAGTCCATTTTAGTAACCTTGTGCTGGTGTTTTTGCAAAAATTGCTTCAGAGTTTCATAACAGAATTGTCAAGATTTAACCAAAACAGCCTTAAAAGTGCCTGTGACTTTAAAATTTCATGATACCGGTAAATATGAAAACATTATTGTAAAGCTAGCATTGATAAACTTGTTGCAAAAAAAAAAAAGATTTCATGCCACTGAGATGAACAGTTATTGAGATATTAGCATGTGAAGTAACAGGAAGTGATGTCAAAGGGGAACACCTGCATGTAAACATTAATGGCTAACAACACAGACCGTAGAGAAGAATCTGTTTCTTTAGATTAATTTGAGTCACAAAGACCAGGGAGTTCCCCTTTTTAAAGAGTTCCCCTATGATGTCACTTCCTGTTTCACTTTGGCTGCTCTAAGGTCAAAAGAAAACGTAAGTTATGAAAGAAAATGTATAAAATCTTGTGAATTAACGCCATAATTTTTCAAGTTAAATGTACATAAGGCAAATAAACTAGTTTTTTATTATTATTCCTACACATGATGTTTAACATGCAGTGTTCCTTCAGCTCTCAGGTGTGTCTGTAAACCATCTGACATGCGACAGCAGATAATTATTTGTGGATGAGTGGCGTCGCTGTCAGAACAAGTGTCTGACTGGACACCTGTCAGAGCAACCTCCCCAACTATTATGTGGATTCTCTGGTCCATTTTGCGCGTCAGTCACCTCCTCCTGTCCTCCTCCAGTTGTCATTACAGAGACGTGGTCTGTATGTGGGTCAAAAACTACAAACTTCAAACCATATGCTTTAATTATGATACTTAAAATACTTCAAATTAAAGAATGAAATAGAACAAACCTCAAGAAATCAAAAAAGAAAGAATGCAGCTTTAATTGAAGATAGTTTTTAATATGATTCTTGTTGGTTTACTGAAATTTACATTTTTAAGTTTGCAAATGAGTATTTACGCCTGCTAATAAGTTTTATGCTTTTACTTGGAAGTAAAATAAGTGACTGTGGTTACAGATTCAGCTTGTTAAAATAAAAAATACTTTACTTTATAGGTTTTCTTGTTAGACTTTAGTGTGGGTAAGTCTTTTAAACTTATGAGAAACTGTTAAGAGTCCACAGTGGCTGCATTCAACCTTGAATTAAAATATATAAAAAACTACCATTACTTTATGATAAAACACAAAAACTTGTTTATCTTTGTTTGTTGTAAATAGAATGGCCATGCAAGCAGGATAGACACATATTTGATATGCGATAAGTTATTATGATGGTTTAAAACTTTTTCTAAACTAATTCTGCATCATATTTAGCCATACTAACATTATGACAACTTTTAAAACCACAAACCTCATCACTTTTTTTAAAGTAAATGTCCCTGAAATATTAAAATAAAGCATCACTAATAGTCTGTGCTGTGCTTCTTTTGATAATTAAACATGACAAAATGGTGGTAAACTCATTTAAACATTGTAACCAGCCTATTTATTGATATAAAGTCAACATTTATTTCAATAATCCTCCAAATATGTAAGATCTTTAAGCACCTGATATTTAAAAAGTGCAGATTAGTGTTAAAAACAGTCAGTTTTCTAAACCAGTGGTGGTATTTATTTCCCTGCGCTGCATCTTTTTATAAAAGCGATGACAAATGAGCCGATTTGGCCATTTTTCTTATAAATCAGAGTTTATTTTTCTTCAGCGAACGTAAGATTATATGTCGTGGCCTTGAGAGGAAACTTATGCTGCTACTTGTATAAACTGTAAGATAATCTCACCGCGCAGCTCTGGTTTCTCTCCCCCCCCCCCCCCCCCTCCTCTCAGTTCTGTCGGCAAAACACGATCTGGTTGGATTTGGGAATGGAGTAAGGAGGAGAGTTAATCTGATACTTTCCAAAAAAAGCCCCCCCTCCCAATACCCTCCAAGGCCCCCACTTCCCAAGGCGGGCCAGGCAGAGACACCACATCTGGTAATACTGTAGGCACATTGTCCTTCCAGGTCTGTGGGCGAAGCTCGGGTTTCCTCAATATTTTCCCCTGGTGGATTCAGTTATCCAGAGGGCGCTGCGAGGCTGACGGAGCAGGCGGCGTCACCGGAGTTTTCTGACGGACCATGGATGTCTGGGATGAGACGGTCCAGACGATTCCTCGTCTCATCTGTAGCTGTGAATGAAGGCCCACTTTCCTCACTTTTACTCACTCCATCGACCCAGACGGAAACAATCATTGAAAATGTGCCGCCTCTCATTCAGAGGAGTGAGAGAGGCATTTATTTTGAAGGCTGATAATGTTAAAATTAAGGATGCACAATATTGGATTTTTGGCCAATATCCGATATGTTAAAACTTATTTAGACGATAATCGATACAATACCGATATATTTTTTTTTCTAGACCTACTTACAGAGACTACATAGCTCTCTCTGCTGTAGAATTAAAATACTACCGGTACATTATTCTGCATGGTCTTTGTTAATTTGGCCTGCTACCAAATGCAGATGCCAATAAGGGGGCTGAAAATGATGTCACACTTCAACTTGGATTATGTTTAATGTCAAATTTATTCATGACATTTACTCTATCTAACACAATGAAAACACTCGAACAGTCATACAAAAAAAAAAAAACAGCGCCTTTTATATATGTATATATAAACAGAGCCTTTTATATAAGTGAGTTATTTTGATAGAATGGCCGATGTCAGATATTTAACTTTATTGCCAATATCAGCCGATACCGATACCATGCCGATAATATCGTGCATCCCTAGTTAAAATGTTTCTCCAACTTTACTGACACCTGATCATTGATTACTGCCATTCCAACTGACTTGAAACAGATTTTTCTTTTTGAATTCACCTATATCGCATGGCCACTTCTTCAGACTTCCAGCCTCGATTAAAACTAACTAAAAAGTTTAATAAATCTGTCACTGACTCAAACGAAAACCCTGCAGTCAGATAATTACTTTAAAACTTTTAAACTGTTCTGATGTCCGGACACTAACCCTTTGAGCTCCCTTTTTGGCTCCTCGGGCCGGACGGACACCTGATCTGTCTCCGACTTCTGTATAAATACAAAGTCAAATGAATAAAGGTGAGTTTGTTCATGAATCCACCAGGACCCCCGCCCCCATGAGCCGATAATGAGCAGCTGAGCGAAGGTTCACCAGGCTTCCAACACCTCAGATTAATCCTCCAAAACAGCTGTTTGGATGCTTGTGCTTCAGCCAGAAGATTTAATTAGAAATATTATGAATGACTTGATTAGCGTATTAATGTTGATCAACCTCATTTATTTAAATATTTCAGTTTAATCTGTTTTCTATTAGAGTGATTTATTGAGAAACAGCTCTTTAATGGCCTCAAGACGCTCACTATAGATTTTCCAGCAGAGTTTTGTTGGTCTTATACAGTAACTCCTGGTTTATCAATGAAATGGTTCAAGTCTCGTCTTCTATACACCACATTTCCTTCTGTTTATGAATTTATTGGGTTTATTAGTTAATGCATTTTATTTCTTCTCAGTAATTTCATAATGAAAGCTTCTATCAAATACTGTATTCTTCATTGAACGTGTTGTGTAACAGGATTACTAACCAAAGATGGATTAAATAAAACCACACGAAAAGGAAATGAAGAAAATGAACAAAGGGCAAACATTTGAGTGAGATAACAAGAATGAAAAAAATAAATGATTCAGTCTTCCAATTAACTAAATCAACCAACAAACCCAACTTGACCCAGTCAAAAAGAAATCAAACCAATCAACTTAACTCAGAGTCAAAATAACCCGGACCAAGCTGATCAACCCAGTTTAACCTAAATCAATCAAATCAAGCCAACTAAACCAACCAGCTTAACCCAAACCAACCAGTCCAACTCAACTCGGTCAAAATAAATCAGATCTACTTAGTCCAAAGAACCAAACCAGGTCGAACCAACTCGCTCTAAAGCAACCCAATTTAACCAAACAAGCTGAACGTGACTCAACAAACCCAGCCCAAACAGTAGATCATATCAACATAAGAATGGTTTGAAAGAAAGCTGAGAACCAAGACTGCTGCCACTTTTTATTATTATTTTTTCCATATATTGTTTGTATTTTATTCAGTGTAACCTGGAACGATATTCCAAGGTTCTCACTGTATCAGAAATAATTTGACCTGGGTGTTTTCTCTTTGTTTTCTGTTTGTTAGGTGGTCGAACTGATCTCCAGTGCCATCGGGGATTTAGTCCAAGGGATCTATTATGAGAATTCCTACAACGCTGAGGTAAATTGTTTATTCTTCTACAATCCAGCTTTGATCAAATGCTCACCAGAACTGCAAACTTGGATTACCAGTACGTACAGCTGATAATGGTGTCAGATGGCCGCTCGTTGTAGCTTTTTAGTCCATATCTTCTACAAACTGGGCTGCTTTTAGGAAACTAAAGGATTTGTTTAGATGTGTGTGAACTTTTGGTAGAGAAAAAAAAAACAAGCAAAAAGAGGCTAATGAGTGGGTAAATATTCAGAGAGACTGTAACGTTGAATCTTTGGGCTTTTTTAATGGTGCAGTGAAGTTTAATTCAGGATTCTTACGAAACTAAACTTGTGAAGAACGAGTGCATTAAGATCATACAGCTGGTTCTGGCTGTGGGCAAAGTAGAAGGTGAACGCTCCTCTGTAGTTGGATCTGACAGCAGGCGCTACGAGCTGACTATAAATGAGAAGAAAACCAGGAGACATCCTGATAAATAATGAATTAAGAGAGGCCCGGTGCTGTCAGGTACCAGTGAGCAAGAGTTTCCCTTAATTACTCTGTTTTTAGGTTCTGCCATGAGCTCACAACAGCCTCATTTATAACACCGGTGTTCAGAAAAAAAGAAGTCCAGCTCCAGTTGAGACAAAAATATTGTTTTAATATTTGTTTAATTCAATAAAAGGTGTGGGGGAGTCATTGCAGTGCAGATTTTTTTCATAAACAAGTTCTTTAGAGCATTTTTAGAAGGTTGTCTTCTTTAAAGAGCTGCAGAAGGTCTCACCAAACCAGTGCAAAGTGAAACCTCTTAGTGAGGAGGGTTTTTATGAAGTGGAAGCAGTGACAGCTCTGCCCTGATGTCTGCTGTCGTTCGCTCTGCAGGACGTGCTCACCGATGGCGTCGACGCGGCGTCGTGGGAGGAGCAGATGTTCATGTCCCACGGGTCGCTACTAGCCAAGAGCTGTCAGTGCGCCATGCACCTCGCCAAACACGACAAAGAGGCCCAAAGACTGGCCTACCTGTACGGAAAGCACCTGTCGCTGGGCCACAAGGTGAGTCTGATCCCTCAACAAGCGCAGACACCAGTAAGGCTCTTGTTTGGCTTTTTTATGTAAATGTTTATGAAGTATTCACACTGTTGTGATCCATTTTTCTTATGGACATTTTTCAGCGCGATTCTCGTTCTGCAGTTTTTATGCTATGTCAACAATTCATCAAAACGTTCAGCTCTTTCAGGAGAAGGGTGCTATGACTTTTGGTATTGGTGCAACTTTAGCTTTTTGAAATATTTAGCCTTTTTTTGCAACTTATTTTCTTATAGGACATGAGTTGAGCTCATTTTACATCCTTCACATCTTTAGATGTGTTTACAACCTTTTACTGCTCCTTTCACATTTTGTTCTGCTTCAGCTTCTTTCAGCTTCCTTGTGTAAATTTAAACTTTTTTCCAGCTACTTTCAACTAATTCCAGCTGTTTTGTGTTCCTTTCGGATTCTTTCTGCTAACTACAACATTTGTGCTTCTTCTAACTTCTTTTTTCAAATTTCAGCTTGTTATGCTCTTTTCAGCTTATTTCTGCAAGTTTCAGCTTTTTCTGCTATTTCTGCTACTATGTAGTTGTTTTATGCTATTTCAGCTAATTCCACATTTTTTGCACTAATTTCAACTTTTTTCAGCCTTATTCACCACAAATGTGCTCTCTCCACTTCCTTCTGGTAATTTAAGCTTCTGTCTGAAAATTTTAGCTGCTTTTCAGCCGTTTTTTGCTAAATTCAGCTTCTTCTTTTTTTTCCAGATAATTTTCACTTTTTTTTGTGCTCATTTTGCTTCTTTCAGCCTAATTGAGCAAACATGTTCTTTCTGCTTTCTTCTGCTAATTTAAGCTTGTTCTACCTGTTCAGCTAGCTTTTTAGCATTTTTTTAGCTAATTTCAGCTGTTTTCAGATAAATTCATGTTTTTCTTGGTAATTTTTGCTACTTTCGACCTCATTAACTTCTTTATGCAAATTTCAGCTTGTTATGTTCCTTTCAGCTTTTTTCTGCTACCGGTAGTTTCAGCTTTTTCTGCTATTTCAGCTATTATTTAGCTGTTTTTATGCTAATTTTAGCCTTTTCAGGTAATTCCACATTTTTGGAACTAATTTCAGCTCTTCTGCTTTCTTCTGAAAATTTAAGCTTCTTTCTGCCTTTTCAGCAAATTTTTTTTTGCAAATTTCAGCCTTTTTTAGTTAATTTCCTATTTTTCGTGCTCATTTCTGCTAATTTAAACCTAATTCAGCAAATATGTGTTCTTTCTCCTTTCTTCTGCTAATTTAGACTTGTTCTTACATTTCAGCTACATTTCAGCATGTTTTAGCTAATTTCAGCTGTTTTTCATCAAGTTCTTCAGCAATAAGCATTCGCACTGCATTTTCACAGTAAATGCAATTTCTTAGTTTCAACTAATAATCAATATTTTTTCCTTAAAGGATTCCATATTTTCTGCTGACGTTCATGCCCGTATTAGATTATGATAATCTTTTGTTGCACAAGGAGACTTGTAGTCGTTGAAAATAGGATTATGCGCAATATTGTGAGATAGCTCATGACAATTAGCCGTGGCAGCCATCCTGTGTTGGGTTGACTTCAAAAGGTACATGAGCTGTAGATGTTTATCCAATACATATTTTCTGAAAGTTTCATTTGGGTTAAACGGAGCAAAAGATTTGAAATCAAACTTTTTGGGCTTTAATCTTCTTGTTCGCTGAAACTTTGTCCCTCCTGACTGATGTAGTTTCCTTTTCATTTCTCTGGTCAAGTTAAATCAAAGTAAAGGAATAAAACGGCTGAAGCAGCAGGAGTAATTGGTGCTTCTTAAATTAAACCGTATTAATGTTTTTATCAAATACTTCAGGGTAAAAAAAAGGTGGGGGGGGACAGGGTGATATAACTGTTCAGATTAAACAGAAATGGACTTAAACAGTGAAATCAAGATGGGTGTTTTAAAGTAAACCCTCGTGTAACACAAACTTTTTAAAGTTTTAGGGGGTTTCAGCTGAGCTCCCGTCCATAATGATGCGTTCTCTGGGCTGCAGTGGTCGGTCCTCCCCTGCCGAGGCTCCCTGCAGCTGCCGAGGCTTGCAGACGGGCAGCTGCAGGGAATCTCAGCATGCAGGGACCAGAAATGAGGTCTTTGAAGGAGAACCATCCTTATCAGGCCGGTTGTCTTTCACCAAACTGTTCACCTCGCCGCTCATTAGCGGGACCTCTCCCAGCGTAGGCTGGCAAAATGTGGACTTTTAGAAAACTATTTAACCTCTGCTTTGGTTTTAATTTATCACCTGAAAGTTACAGAGAAGTGTCAGCGACTCCTTTTGTTTCCTGCAGCTGAACTTCGACCTGCAGCCATTTGTGAAGAGCGGGTCGGGAGACCTGACGTCGTTCAGTTTGAGCGCGGCACCGGTGGTCCTCCACCGTCAAATCGTCGGCAAAGAGGAATGGCATCAGCAGCTTCAGCAGGTACAAAAAAACATCTATATTTGGTTTGGATCTGAGTTAATTTATTGAAGTAATATTTAAATAACTGAGTGAGACGAACAGCTTTTAAAACTAAACCTTGTTTGTGCATCAAAGAATCTGCATGGGTCAGAGAATATTTAGACTTTAAATTAAATTTAATCAGTTTGAGAGTCAACACAAAGATTAAAGTGACCACCAAGCTGGAGAGAAACAAAAACAAACAGAGAAAATAGTGAAAGAAAAAATACGTTATGAGCAAAGCTTTGAGAATTTGTCATCATTAATAAATCTCAGAAACTAAAATTCTTAGTTTAAGTTTGCAAAAGCGTACACTTGTAGAGTTATGTTAAAAAATAGACAATAATTCACCTCTATGATTGCAAATCTAAAACTTTTCTTCATATTGTCGTGGTTTTGTAGTTTGAGCGATGGTTTCAGTTGGCTGCAGTTTTAAGTTGTTGCCACTAGATGTCACTAAAACGACCACATCATTTACGCCTGTTTACCGGTAGTTTTTAATATTACACCCTAAAATCCTAAAATATCTGTTATTTTAAAATAAATTCTTTGTTTTTTCTTATTTACTAACATTATAACCTATAAAAAGGCCCAGGAAGTGAGATAGTTTTGATTATTTTAAGACTAGTACTAGAAATAAATCTGTTTTCAGAGCAACAGAAAGCTAAAAAAAAAAAAAGGAAAAGTCATAAAACTACTTCTATTTGTGTTTTGTTACATTTTTTTTATTGTAATTTGAGGTTTTAACACAAAATCTGTTTGATCCCTGTGTTTTGGAATATTATAAGTAGACAAAGTAATTTTATCATTCACCATTCACGATATTATCGTAAATCTGCTCATTGTGCATCTTTCTATTTTCTTGTTAAGGCTAAAACTTTGAGAAACCAGCTGGATTACTCCAAGGTAAGCTCAGAAGTTCAAATATTCCCCAACATTTTCAGGAAGTTGTTCAATCGGCATCTTTTGTTTTTGTCTTATTTTTATTTCCCTTTATTTTTTTTACACTTTTCGAGCACCGTCAGACGCAAACGGGACGTCTTCTGACTGTAATCTATATCAAACTGAGAAATCGGCTTTCCAAAGTCATGGCGTGATGGGACAGATCGGGGCGCAGAGAGACACTGAAGCCACAGAGGAGGGGTCTGTGGGTGTCGGGGTTATCTGGTCCCGTCTGAAACCGGAGCGGGGCGGATTAGTTACCGAGGCCTATTTGTGGAGGAGACGCCGAGACTCTGAGACAGAGGCTTTGCGAGAGAATCTCCTTCAGACGAAAAGGGGAGAGAAGTTTATGAGCAGGTCGAGAGGTGACAAGGAGGGAGGCTCGTCGGAGGACACGAGAGGGAAATTAAAACTTTTTGGTTCAACAGCAATTGAAGCTAAACTAGCTCTGTATTTATTAACAAATGAAAAGATCTGATTTGATCTACGTCAAAGTAACTGTTTATTTTAAAGACGGGCTCCGATTTTCTGTCAACAGAATGAAACGGACTAATTCAAAGTAGGCCTGTCACGATAAACAATAAATCAATTAATCACATGATAAATTAAAATTATCGACCTCGTTTTCATTTATCAGCTTTATCGTTTCTTCGTCTCTCTTTCTACTGAAGACACTGGATGACAAAAGGCTCAACTCCAGTTCTCTTCACTGACCCCTCCCTTTCTCCTTTCTCTTTAAAATCCATTTTAACCGTCCAAAATTGTGCCTTCGGGTAAAAAGATTTTTCTCTACAAAAAGAAGCTGAGAACCTGTTTACTGATTTTTTTATTAAAAGCTTTGTGTGAAAAATGCTATGCTAAAGAGCTCAAACCACACTGGGCGTCCACCATTTTGAGAACCGGAGAGAGACAGCCCATGTCACGTCAAGGGGCCTCTCTTCCATTTTTCTTAGAGACACGCTGCTCACTCCCTCACTATCCATCCTTCGGTTCAGTCTTATATTTCCATCCGATGGTTGAAAAAAGGTACTGCTGCTGTACATGCAAAACAAATTAAACAACATTTCTTCTTAAATTTGACAATAATTACTAATTATTCTCAATTTTTAAGCAATATTATCGTTTATCGCAATAATTTCTGAGACAATTAATCGTCCAGCAAAATTTTTTATCGTGACAGGCCTAATTCAAAGTTCAAATTTTGCTCCCCAGTCCTCACCTGGACCCTTTTGCGTTCAAGCATCTTATATGAGCTCGACTAAAGAAGTGAACTCTTGTCAGACTGGATTGTAGAAGTTTGCAACTGTTAGCCTTTTATTGTTCTGAAATCACCTGAAAGAGGACGCCAGGATGTTGCTCATTTTTCAATCTTAAAGCCGACTAAATAAAAGAGGAGCAGAACTTTGTTAGTATGTTTTAAACGGTAATACAAAAAACAAGCAGACAAATAAAAAACATATCTGCTTGCATTAAATAAGCACATCGTTTTTCACAGATTGCCACAATAATTATAAAAACAAAATGAACTAGAGAAATGGCATTTCCTGCGAAAATGCAGTGTGAATGCTTATTGCTGGAGAGCTTGCTGAAAAAAACGCTGAAATTACCGTAGCTACAAGCATGCTGAAATGTAGCTGAAATGGAAGAACAAGCCTAAGTTAGCAGAAGAAAGCAGAAAGAACACATATTTTCTTAATTAAGTTTAAATAAGAAGAAATGAGCACAAAAATTAAGAAATTAGCTAAAAAAGCTGAAATTAGCAAAAAAATGGCTGAAAAGGCAGAGAGAAACTTAAACTACCAGAAGGAAGTGGAAGGAGCTGAAATGAGCTAAAAAATGTGGAATTAGCTGAAAAGGTTAAATTTAGCAGAACACATCTAAAAAGTAGCTGAAATAGCAGAAAAAGATTAAACTAGCAGAAAAAAAGCTGAAAGAAGCATATCAAGCTGAAATTAGCAGAAAGAAGTTAATTAGGATGAAAGTAGCAGAAATTACCACAAAAAACTTGAATTTATCAGAAAACAGCTGAAATTAGCTAAAAAATGTTAATAAAGTAGCTGAAAAGTTAGAACCAAGCTTAAATTAGCAGAAGAAGCAGAACACGTTTGCTGAAAGAAGCAGAGATGAGCACAGAAAAGTGGAAATTATCTGTAAAAAGCTGAAATTAGCACAAACAGCTGAAAAGTAGCTAAAAAAGCTGAAAGACACTTAATTTACCAGAAGAAAGTGGAGAAAACACATTTTTGCTGAATTAGGCTGAAAAAAGATGAAATGAGTGCAAAAAATGTATTAGCTGAAATAAATTTAATTAGCATAAAAACAGCTATATAGTAGCTGAAATAGTAGCTGATTCTTGGAGAAATAAGATGAAAGGAGCATAACAAGCTGAAATTTGCAGAAAGAAGTTAGAAGAAGCACAAAAATATTGTAATTAGAAAGAATCTGAAAGGAGCACAAAACAGCTGAAATTAGCTGAAAAAAATTAAATTTGCACAAAGAAGCTGAATGGAGCTAAACAAAATGTGAAAGGAGCAGTAAAAGGTTGTAAACAGATCTAAAGATTTAAAGGATGTAAAATGAGTTCACTTCATTTAAGGAAAAAAAATGGCAGAAAAGGCTAAATATTTCAAAAAGCTAAAGTTGCACCAATACCAAACGTCATAGGAGAATTGTCCTGAAAGAGCTGAACATTTTGATTTATTATTTGTTGAAGTAGCTTGAAAACTACGAGAATCATGTCGAAAAACATACGGAAGAAAAATGGCTCACAATAGTGTGAATGCTTCATAAGCGTTCACACAATAAAGCGACGCTGAGTGATCTGGCTCATGGATATCTTTTATATTTTAACGTTTTGTTTAAAGTAAAAGGATGAAGAGGAGAAGGAGTTTAATTTCCGACATCAAGCTGCTTCAACGACTCGGTTTTACTTCTTGTAGCACAACTTTTCCTTGGAATATTAGTGAAAACGCTGCAAAAACCCCAAAGGAAACTTCCTGTGTTTGATCAAGCCCGCTGGAAATCTGGACAAAGCAGTGAGAAATCACGACAATTAAAAAAGGGTCAAATTAATACAGTTTTTTCACGACCGATTCTGTTTTACGACGAACGCCACCTGAAGGTGTACTAAAAAGCAGCACCTGAATATCGATGCGATCAGAGCCTGTTTGAGGGTTTTGGCAGACCTCGTGCAAAAAGAACGGGATGTGCACGGAGGAGCGTGGGGAATAAAAACATCAGGGAGCTCAGCAGACAGGAATGTGTGAAATTCATGAGCAAAACTAGCCTTTTTGTAAATAAATAAGCAGGCAGGATGTTTCAGAGTTTGACACTTGCAGTTATTATTTTTTTATTTTAGTTCTCTTATTTATATATATATATATATATATATATATTTATTTTGGTTTTCTTGAAGGAAGGCCTACGGGGCTTTCCACCTCCAGAATTCATGAGGCAAAACGCCCTCAGCAAAAAAAGATGTCCCGGCACGGCAGCAGGAACGCACAAGAACACTCAAAAACTCACTCGAACTACAAACTTAAAGCTGCTGCTTTGACTTGGAGTCCTCTGCTCCAGCATGTTTGAGTTAAAGCTAATAAAAGTTCTTAAAGTCGAACTATTCACTGGAATTTAAAGTAGTCCGTGCAAAAGAACACAAGCAAGGATATTATCCGGCTGAAAATAACGCCTATATCTTGTCACGCTGCTTTAAAATAAAGCATACGCCGAAGCACGCGGCTTGGTTAGGAATGGCGTGCTGTGATTTATTTTAGTAAAGTGCAATAAATTTGCCAAGAAGAATGGAGATGGATGGGATTCTGGTGAAACTGCAGGAGAAAACAGCCCTGTTAGGAGCTCTGTAGCTCAGATGTGCTTCATCGTAGAAACATCATCAAAAGTTTTAATGTGTCGCAGAAAGTTGGACTTTTCGTACCTAAACGAGTGTTTTGATATCTTTCATGGTTTTCTACACAGTCGCAGTTTAGTTTCGCAGTTTCTCCACAAAACGTTTAACTGACAGTTGATGTCACGCACACTTCTTAATCTTTTGCTCACTCCCACAACTCTTTTCGGTACAAATACAAATTATAATCAAATCGTAGATGCTGTAGTCGTCTTCCACCTCTGCCTTCGGTGTTGCCAGAAGCAGCATCCAAACGACGCAAAGCATTCACACTATTGTTTTCCTGTTTTAACTATTCTGTATGTTTTTCGGCATCTAACTCGTCCCACAGGTTTTGTGCTATTTCAACAAATTGTAAATCAAAACGTTCAGCTGTTTGCTCTCCTGACTTCCATCTATTAATTTAAGCTTCTTTCTGCTTGTTTTAGCTATTATTCAGCTGTTTTTGACTAATTTTGGCTTTTTCCAGATAAATATCACTTCTTTGTGCTCTTTTTTCTTCTTTAAGCCTTATTGGGCGCAAATTTGGCAAATTAGTAGCTGACAATGATCCCTAATAGACTCTTGACTGAAAATCAAAAATCCAAGATGGCCGCCTTAGCAAAAGAGGACAAAAATACTGTAAATCAGCCAATTTTAGTCATATTGAGCTGAAAGTTGGTGTGATGATACTGTAGCTGGCAATGTTTCCCATCAAATGCTGCATGAAAATCGTAAATCCAAGATGGCCGCCAACACTACTTTTGAATGGATTTGACTCAGCCATTTTTACACATACAGAGCTAAAATTTGTTGAGGTTATAAGTCAAGTCAACTTTATTTATAGAGCACATTTAAAACAGAACCTGTTATCAAAGTGCCTAACAACAACAATCAATGAGAGTAAAATTAAAGAGACAAAGAAAAAAAAAAAAGATATAAATATATATATATATATATATATATATATATATATATATATATACACTAATAATAATAACTGAAGAATTAATAAAAAGCATTTAAAACATAGGGTCACAGTTAAAAAAAAAACCACTAGATCAATTTACACTGTGTGAAATGCCTGAGAGAACAGATGTGTTTTTAGCAGAGATTTGAAGTGAGGACGGGAGGTGGCCTGCCTGATGTTGGGAACGTTCTCAATCACATACTGCATCCAAATCAAAAATCCAAGATGGCTGCCTTAGCTAAAAAGGAAAAAATACAATAACGCTGGCATTTTTAGAGCTATTCAGCTGAAATGTGGTCTAATGGTAGCTGAGAGCAAACCCAAACACATAGTACTGTCACATCAACAGTTTGTCGGCAGCAGCCTGGCAGTCCATTACATTAGGAACAATTGTGCACATTCTGCTTCCTTCTGATAATTTAAGCTATTTTCTGCTATTTTCAGCTACTTTTCAGTTGTTTCCTTGAAATTCTTAAGCAGGAAGCATTCACTCTACATTTTCGCAGGAAATGCAAATTCTCTACTTTTTAAAATTTTATTTTATTTTCCTGTAATTAAACGACCCGCCCTTTCCTCTGGCTCTTTTTTTTTTTTTTCTCTCACTTTGTTACGCTGACAGCTGGACGACGGTGGCGCTGACGTGACAAGCTAATGTGTTTTCATCTCCCTGCAGCTTCTGGCGGCGGTGAAGTCGGAGAAAGGCGTGAGCTCGGCCGTGGACTTGTGCTGTTACCATAGCAACAAGGCTCTGGAGGCCATCCAGGATTTCCCCTCCTCGGAGGCTCGGTCCGCCTTGAAGAACATCGCCTCCGCCATCGCCAAATTTTGACCCGCACACACACATAAACAGAGGAATGTGTGTCTGGAGGAACCGTGGCTCATCAAACGCAAACACTCCACTTGAGCACGAAGCCAAATGTTTTGTTCGGCTCTGATGCTCCCCCTCCGCCGCACCAGGCCTTTATCGTCACCTTTTCTTATCAGCGCACACAGCGGAGAGCATCGTTTAAGACGCCTTGAAGAATCTGGAACAAACAGACTTCTTTCAAATTTTGTCCCAATTGAAACTGGAGCTGCTGGACGCCAGTTTAATCGTGAAAAATTGGTGCCCCAGACAAGAAAACCTCACGGGAATCAGGAGGACCGGGTGTGTGGTTCCAGTGGGCCCAGGGGCGTGGAAAGGTCACCTCAGCCTCTCTCCTCGGCCCCAGCCAGCGAGCGCAGCGAAGCTCCACCGAGCAGTAATTATTAATGAAGAGACCTGAGCAAATGGACAGGAAATGCAGAGGTATTGATTGGGCCGGCTGCCCTGCTCTGAGCCGCGCAGCCTGGCGCCAGCCTGGTGGCCTGTGGTTTCCCATGGTCTGCGGAGGGCGGGGGGCTCAGCCAAGGTGTGAAACCACTGGGGCCGGCAGCTGCCCATCACGTCCTGGACGCACCTGAAGGACAGATCAGGTGATCAAATCATTCAAAATGTACAAAATAAAGGTTAAAACTGAGATCGCTGCGTCTTCTCTTCTATTAACAGTTTTTATGTTTCTGATGAAGCTTCGGCTGTTTTTAGAGGTTTAATCAAACTTCATCCAACAATATTCACTTTTTTTAGGCTTTAGTTTGTCACATTTAAGGGTTGTTTTCCTGCTTCATCTTAAAAAGTTCATCTTGGATAAACTGATGGTTTTCACACATTTCTGTTCAGATTCTCAACCAAAAAATATGTTTTTAGAGGATTTTTCTATAAATTATTTACTTGTTTCCTCTGACGAACAGGATTATTACGCAGTTGATCTTCCTTGTGCATTCAAACAGAGGCCAAAGTCATTTCTAAGGTCATTTTCGTGCCACGTCAGAGCACATTTAACAAGATATTTAACTTTTCGGGAGTCGTTTCCAGGTTTTAGAGGCGTGAAAGCAGCATTTTCCCTGATTTTTCTGGCTGAACAGTTCGATGAGTCTCTTGTTGCTCAAACGCTGTAACACATTTGATTTTCTAGCAGCACGTTTTCTACATTTGACCCCCAGACGGTGTCCCAGTTTCTTTAAAAAACTTGGATCCCTCAGTTGTTTGTCATATTTTCATTTGAATTTTTGCCTTTATGGCTCGTCGTGTCTTTAATTCCTGCTATTCTGCATCCGTTCTGCGTGCTTGTTGCTGTTTTTACGTCTCCAGGCCTCCCACCGCAAAACTTTGCTGCACAACTTTGCAATTTAAGACGTGAGGAAAACAGTAATTTACTCCTTTCTTGTCTGTAAAAAAGAAAAAGCTGTAGAGCAGTGGAGGAAAACACCTACATGGAGCCGTTTACTGGGAGTAAACCAGTTTTTAAAGTGACCCTCTTGCTCGTGAGATTTAATTATACGATCAGGAAACAAAAAGGCAGAGATGTATCGAAGGCGAGGGTGGATTTGAAGGAACGTAGCTGTAGCTGGCTTGTACGTCCATTTCATCCTCTGTTTTTTGGTTTCCTGCGAGGAGCTCCTTGGGCCTAGAAACACCTCGGGCTCCTAATGAAATATTCAACCTCGCCGTGAGGGGACATGAGGAAAGTTACATGGAAAATTAAAAGGACCGAACCATGAGAGAAGCTTGGCCTGAATGACAAACACGCTCGCTAAACAAAACTTTCTCCGTGGCTGAAGCTGCTGACAGCGTTCATCTGATTGGGATCTCTCGTGAATCAAAAATTTAAAGTTTTGTCCGTTTTTACACGCCGCCCAGCAGAAACTGGGCTCTGCGTTTACTTCCAGTTTTAATTTATTGGATCCTGAAAGTTGGCAAAGCTGGAGGTTTATATCCAGAACACAAGTGGAGGAACAGCAGGGTTCCCGGTTGAGGTGTACCGTATTTTTTGGACGATAAGGTGCATTAAACGAAACTAAACAGATAAATCAAACTTTATTCAACTCATTCACAATAACCACATAAAATCAGTTTGATGTGAGTAAGCACAACCAGAATTAATACATAAGGTGCACCTGATTATGAGGCTCATTGTCGATTTTTGAGAAAATTAAAGGGTTTTAAGTGAGACTTATAGTCCGATAAATACGGTAATTCCAAATTTCACTCAAACTATTACATTTTAAGGTTCATTTTGGTCTTTGAACCTTATTCTACAAATAATCTCAAGTTTGTGAGGAGATTCTGAAACCACAAAGGAAGATCTCCCTGAAAACAACAAACTTCCCAAATAAATAGCAATATTTAGTCAGATAAACAGATGTTTTTAAAATGCACCTCTGGTTTAGATTTTCTGATTGTTTTCCTGCAGATAAACTGAAGAATCTTGGATTTTACCATCACAGTGGACTTGTTAATCAAATTAAATTGTTTTTTTAAATTATTTAAACAATTTAAATACCTAGTTTTACCCATACCTATCTAACTAAATATTCCCTGTAAAGTTGGCTCCTGACTAATAATATGGAGAATAAAAGAATATTTGTCCGTTTTTAGTTTTAATTATCAATCATCTTTGGTTGGCTGTATAAATAAGATTAGTCATTATTTTAGAGTTTGTTCTTTAATCGGCACTATTTTTAAAGATGATGGGCCTCGTAAGTCTGTGTGTACCTCCTTGTTTTTATTGTTTTGTTTGTCGTAAAGAGAAAAAATGGTTATTTGACTGGATTAGGGACTAAATTAGTTGAAGTGAAAACGCTGTTACAACTGTTTTTCCTTTTAACATTCACAACTTCTGAATTAAAAAAAGCATCTTCTTTAAAGTAAATGGTTGTTTTTTTTTACCAAATAAAGGATTTATCTTTAACATTAGCTTTTTTTATTAAGATGTTTTAATTCCTGTAGTGTCAAGTTAAAAAATTCAGTCCAGAAGCGATGAAAATGCTTAAAATGTATTTTCAGATAGTCACTTTTCCTGATTAAGAAACTTTTTATGGATGCCAGAACCTGCATTAGCTTTATTTGTGGACTAAGACCAACGATTTATTCCTTTTTTGATTATTTTATTGCTCGTCATGCTTCTTTTTGCTCCCTTTATGACGTTTGACCAAGTTCAACGATTCTATTACCTCTGAAACCTGAAAATAATTTAACTCTGCAGGTTTAAATCCTCAGTCTTCAATCTGAAGTGCACAGAGTCCCTGTGAGTAATCACCGGTGACGTTTTGCTTCAAGATCAGCTCTGCTGCAGCCTTTTTCCTGCAGGAGTCAACCTGTGTGTAAAATTGAGTGAATCAGAGTGTGTGTGTGTGTGTGGGGGGGGGCCGTTGGAGCCTCCATTTGTCTTCCTCTGAATGGCCCATCAGTAAACACCTGCTAATGTCATCATAGAGTCGACAGTGATGGATGAAAGTCGTTCGCCTGAGATGGGAACAGTATGGCTGATTGGCCTCTTCGACTCTGACGAGCATATTGGCCAAAAATGACACTTTAACGAGCTCTTCCCCGTGTTAAGTGCCGCACGCCGGCCCCTCATCCCAAGCCGCCGCTCGGTTGACCCCAGGCCACATGAAGCCCCCGTTCTCCCGCTCAGAGGCTGTTCGCTTCATTGGCTGACGGATCAGGCCGCCATGGAGACAGCTCATTAGCCAGATAATGAGAGCCACACGTTGTCTTGTTATATCATCGACATATTTGTGGAGACGGAGCGTCGGGCGCGTGAAGGGTCCAGTGATTAACAGAAGTATGTTTTTTTTTTGGGGGGGGGGGGGGGGGGCGTCTGATATCAGAGGACTTTAGGCTCAGCTCAAGACCTGCTTAACAACGTCTTTCTGAAACATCTCACGAATCAGTGTGACAATTCATGAGTTTCTGCTTTGATCGTTTCCCCGAGACGCTGCCAGTTGCCGTCTGAGTGTCAGAAGTGTTTAACTGCAAAGTCTGGGCTTGGTGACCTTTGACCTTTTGAGTTTCATGTTTTGGTTTGTTTACTGATGGATAACAAGGTTCTAATTTGATTTATAGCAAACAGGTGAGCAGACAAAACCTGTAACACCTTAAATACAAATCATCCGGATCTTTACCCTAACTAACCCATGACCCGAAAACGATGTTCCACCTCATCAGGGTCGGGTTTTGATCTCCTTAAGGACTACTCGTATTGCCAAGAGAGGTAATTATACCAAAAAAGGTCCCAAAATTATAAGAAAAAACAGATAGACACACAGAAGACTCTCCAGGTAAATCAGACTGAAACCTGAGGTCATTAACATGTAGCTTCAGTTTTTAGACACATGGGGGCGCTGTGGTCCATTTGATGTCCTCTGTAGTCCTGGCAGCTCCTCAGAAACCCTTCCACACACTTCACTCAATAGCATTAAGATACACTACATCGCCAAAAGTATTTGCTCTCCCATCCAAATGGTCAGACTCAGGTGTTCCAATCACTTCCATGGCCACAGGTGTATAAAATGAAGCACCTAGGCATGCAGACTGTTTTTACAAACATTGGTGAAAGAACGGGTCGCTCTCACGAGCTCAGTGAATTCCAGTGTGGAACTGATAGGATGCCACCTATGCAACAAATCCAGTCATGAAATTTCCTCGCTCCTAAATATTCCACAGTCAACTGTCAGCTGTGTTATAAGAAAATGGAAGTGTTTGAGAATGACAGCAACTCAGCCACAAAGTGATAGGCCATGTAAACTGATGGAGCGGGGTCAGAGGATGCTGAAGCGCATACTGCGAAAAGGTCGCCAACTTTCTGCAGAGTCAATCACTACAGACCTCCAAACTTCATGTGGCCTTCAGATTAGCTCAAGAACAGTGTGCAGAGAGCTGCATGGAATGGGTTTCTATGGTCGAGCAGCTGCATCCAAGCCATACATCAGTAAGTGCAATGCAAAGCGTCAGATGCAGTGGTGTAAAGCACATCACCACTGGACTCTAGAGCAGTGGAGCTGCGTTCTCTGGAGTGACGAATCGCGCTTCTCCATCTGGCAAGCTGATGGACGAGTCTGGGTTTGGCGGTTGTCAGGAGAACGGTACTTGTCTGACTGCATTGTGCCAAGTGTAAAGTTTGGTGGAGGGGGGATTATGGTGTGGGGTTGTTTTTCAGGAGCTGGTCTTGGCCCCTTAGTGGACAGCCTCCCCAGAAGAGTTGGAGCTGTTCTAACTGCAAAGGGTGGACCAACGTTATATTGAACCCTATGGATTAGGAATGGGATGTCACTTAAGCTCATATGTGAGTCAAGGCAGGTGAGCGAATACTTTTGGCAATGTAGTGTATATTATTTCAAAAATAATACATTTTTGGTTGCAAAACATTAAAACATGCAACTCATTAAATGAAATAATTAAACTATTTTAAAACTACTGACATAAAACTGCACTAAACTTTAAAAAATAATTCCAAACAAATAAAAAATTCACCAGACGGTGAGCAAAAACATACATTTTGTCACTTTTCTACAACTTTGTTATTTAGCTATTATAACTGTTTTTAAAAAAAGATTTAACTTGTGAATGCATTAAATACATTTTAAGTTTATTCTGAGGTGTGCCGTCATGGCTGAGCAAGCTCAAAGTGACGATTCATTTACAAGAATCAAAGCATTTTTTTAAACATTGCTTATGTATTCATCTCCCTTAACGATTGCTCAACTATGGAAGCACAGTTCCACCACTATGATAGGGTAAAATAATCATTTAAGTCTTAATTAAAAGAACTACCTCAAGATTGTGACCAGAAGCCACATATGCTGGCTAAATTAGTCCAAATTAGGAAGTTTTTACATGTAAAGTGAATATTATTATTAAACTCATCATAGTTTGTTGAAATTTGGCAATTTATCACCTGGCAACAAGCTAGATTTGCCGGTTTAATGTGTAAATTTTAAAAATTTGTAAATTTAAAACATAAACCAATGCAGACATGTTCCTGTTTTTAGTATTTTACATTGCTTTATAATGTAGCTGCTTTTGTTTCGTTTTAGTATCATTTTTTTTCTATTTACTTTGCATTTTATATGCTTGTCTATTGTCTGTAACTCATCTCTGTTCTTTGTTTAAAACAGGCCTCATTTGTAAATGAGTCCTTGTGGCTCACTGAGAATAACCTGTATAAATAAAGGTTGAATGAATAGTTACACAGCATACTCAGTAAATATGTAATTAACGTTGTTTATTAGGAGGAACTACTTTCTGGGGCAAATAAATAAAAAATAGGTGGGACTCCACCTCATCTACCCTGACTGCCACTGAGAGATACTGTCTCAAACCTAGAATTTGAAATAAGTCACATGCTAAATCATAGCCATAACATATTTTTTCATTTTAATTAGAATAAAGTCATCCATCCATCCATTATATTTACCCGCTTAAGTCATAATTATGAATTTTAATAATTTTGTATAAAGTTTGTTTTATTATCAGAGTGGCAGAAATGGGGTTCAATAACAGCCCCATTGTTTAGCAATGGCCAAATGCAGTGACATTTTTATTTTTTATTCTTTGTTCATTAATAAAAAATCAAAAACTGTCATATAAAAGCACAAGTCGGACTTGTAACTTCTGAGTAAAGGGCCAACTGGGACTCGAAAAGAACTGATTCTTTTTTTAGGTGCTCTGAGCCACAAGATGCGGCTCCCGAAAAAAAGCCGAAACTCCCACCGAATCGGGGAAGCGCGACGCAGCAGGGCTCGCGCTGCTTCCGTCACTACTTCACGCGAGACGGCCGAGAAGACGAGCGAGAAAAGCGGAAAAAAAAACAACAACAACATAAAAAACATTCATAACAAGACGGCAAATCGCCTCCCGATAAACTACCGCGACACTCCGCAGACGCACCCGGCGTTCCCCCACCGGCCCTGAAGGATGACACGGAAGCGAAAAGGTGAGCTCCAGCCGCCGCTCACGCGCGTTTACCGTCAATCTACCCAGAGAGGAAGAGCTCGTGGGGGACATCCTTCGCGAACATTAAATAAACGGCACTGAGCGCGAGGCGGACCGTAACCTTGTCGAGGACGTTTGAGGAGCAATGCTCGGCTGGTTCGGCTGTGGCTCGGTCCAAAACGCTCATGGGTGGAGGAATGAGGAAGTAGCTGGTTGTAAATGGAGACCCCCCTTTCCCTTTTACAAAACCCAATGAGCAGGGGCGCAACAAGGGGGGGCACTGGTCACCCCTTAAACATTGGTGGGCCCCTGTTGGCCGGACAATTTTATCCTTTTGAGTCTCAAACTTTTGACTGCCATGTTTATTTTTATTTGCTTCTCTTAGATATGTATTAGTACAACTTCATAAATGTAAATCAAAAAGCAATTTTTTTGACTAATGAGGAATC